GCCTGGTCCTTCCTGGTGGCCTGGCACAAGGCACTGCGCCACCATCACCTTCGTGGTATCATAATATCGGATGACGCCGTTCTTGTAGCGCCAGACCAGCTCAGCTGGAAACCTGCCGACGCCCCTCGGCACAGGCGCAACCGCAGCTGGCCCAGGCGGCGGGGGATCGCCACCGCCGACCGCAGGCGGCTCAACGGGCCCCGCGCTGCCAGCGGGCTGCGGCAAAGCAGGCTCGTCGCCGCCAAAGGCGATGCCGATCGCAGAGTCGAGGGCGCTCTCGACGGCGCCTTCGATGCCGTCGGCGCCGACAGGGATCCAGTCGTCCTCGTCCTCGCAATCGCTGCCGCCCTCGCCGCGTCCGCTGCCCTCGGCCTCCGAGCCGCCCTCGGCGCTCGAAGTGTCCTCTGCACCATCGGAGGACGACGCGTTCGGGTCAGGGATGCCGTCGCCGTCCGCCTCGTCGGCGTCGGAGCTCGATGAACTCGACGAGCTCGAACCCGACGACGCCGAACCCGACGCCGAAGGCGATCGGCTCGCAGGCGGGGCTGGGCCTTCAGCATGCCTCGCCCGCCCTCTCCCCCTGGATCTGCCAGCAGGCCCGCGTCCTCGGCCTCGGCCTCGGCTGCCACGGCCTGACCGCCGAGCGCGGGGCCTCTTCAGCTGAGGCACAAACTCTTCAGACAACCTGCCAATGTACAACTTCCATGGCTCAATCAAGTGAACGCGCCTTGATCGGCGAAGAAACTGCCAGAAAGAAACTGTAGTCATAGAAGGCTTACGCGTAAATGATTTGTCCATCTCCCACAATTAACGAAAAAAAAAACTCAGGCTCGTGAACTCGCATGGGGGTCACACCGAGGGCCTCTGCATCATCTCTCGAAGGATCCCGCGTCAGTTCGACAAAAGTCGGCCCAAATGGTTTGGAGTAGTTGAATGCAACATGGAAAAAAACGATACTCCTCATCGGCAATTGCCACCAACGGCTCGTCAGAAAACAATTCAGCATCACTCAAGTCGGCTGGATTGACGCCATGGTCAGACACGAAGGTGAAGCGAAGTACCACCTCACCCTTTACAAGCATGGCCTTCGACTGCTTGCGATCAGCACTGCGCCACCTGGTGAAAGCAGACCTGATGTGTGCCTCGAACCTCGCTAACTCCAAGCCGTCGCCCATGTGAATGCACATGCCAGCTTCATGGCATCGCCGACGCACGACGGGGACCTTTCGGCAAGGACCGCAACTGGCAGCCGTGAACGTCTGATGCGTCGACTCCCACGCTAAAGCCCTCTGCGCCGTGGACATATTCCCATCCGCGCTGATGCTGCTGGCCGACTCGTCTGAAACAAGCTCTGGCCGCCTGCGGTACTGCAAAATAGTGCCAGCATCAACGTGGACATCAGAAACTCCATGATGCTCCAACGTAGTATCCACGATCGCAAACGTGCCGTCGGCTGCTGTCCGGCGATCCTGCCTGATCGCGCTGCTCGCCCTGCTCACCAAGCCAGCCACCGCGTCGTCATGCGACGCCCGCTGGCGCCGAAGGGACAGGGCGCGACCTCTGGCCGCGAATGCAGCATCTAAAATCGGCGAGGGCACATCTGCGAACGGAGGCTGCTCTCGGCGGCCCTCAGCTGGCACGTCATCAGGTCCAGGCCGCTCCTGCTGAGGCGGCAGGAGCCCAAGGGCAGGCACGCCGCGACCGACAGCAGGAATCGCGACAGCACGCGGCTTTTTCTCAAAAGCGCGCTCGCCATCGCGATGCCGATCCCTGGCGATCGCAGCAAGCAGCTGGTACTGCTCCAGCTCCTCAGCGCCCAGCTGCCTGAACTGCTCCGACAGTGCGGCGGCCGCCTCCTTGTCAAGCCAACGGCCGTTCACGTGCACGAACGCCCGCCACATCCAGATTCGAAGGCTGCCGCGCCCGCCCCCAGGCTGGCCACGAGGCTTCGGCGCCTTGGGCTTGCGCCCAGCGCGGCCGGGGCCGTGGCGCGCTGCGTCGGGGCCCCAATCCCCAGCAGAGTGCGCAGCAAAATGCGCGCTGATTTCCTCAACGGTCTCAACGTTGGTCCAAACCCTGAACCGCGCATGCCGTTGATTGACCGAATGGAGACGCTCGACGTCGGCCGTGTCCGTGTCGATCAGGACGACGGCGCCCTTGAGCTCGGCCATGGCGGTCGCCGAGCCCAAGGCACCTCTGTAGAATTCAACAAAGTTCTCGGTGTAGGCGTCGAGGAGGCACGGAGCTGTGCGCCCCAGCTCGGCGATGACCTCTGGGTCCTTCAAGGCATAAAACAACTTCATTGGCCACGCGCGGTTGCTGGTGTAAACCAGCTTGTACGCAGTAGCACCCATTCTCGCCATCAGCAGGTAAATCGTCAACGCGGTCGACTCTGAACGATCCTGAACAGGCGTCCAAGACGACGAATCGAAGATGGCATCGTAGACGTCCTTGAACAGGCATCTGGTGTCCACGTCCTCGTGCGCAAGCCACGCCTGGTACGTGCGCTCCTGACCCCGACTCACCTTCAGCTGCTGCAGCCGTTCGAAGGAAACGCCAGACGTTGCCAACTGCTTCAAAAGGTAAGCATCTGTCAGCGACACCATGCGAGACGCGATGAAGACATCGTCGGCCACTCGGCCGCTGTTCATCCACGACCTGGCGCCGACGATCCTGGCGTCCTGCTCCTCCCGCCACGCACTCGGGGCGTCAGCGCCCCCGCCGTCGCCGTCGGAGTCGCACCCTGGAGCTGGGTCCCCTCCGAGTGGCTCGCCGCCCCCCTCTGGCCAAGCAGCAGCAGCCAGCCGCTCCCGCTCGGCTCGCGCCCGCAGCTTCTGCTCGCGCAGCCGCTTGGCCTGAGGAGGCTCTGGCACGCCGCGAAGGTAGGCGACCTGGAGAAGCCCATGCACTGCAGCAGGGAGGCCGATGCAACGGTGGCTCTTCATCTTGTTCGTCCAATTCGAACGGTTCAAAACGTCCACGGGCCCAAACAGTGCAGCCACGCCGTAACGGCGCATCAAAAAAACAGTATGGTCGCGATTACGGCAACACCCGTTGCAGTAGTGCTCGATGACACCAGTTTTCTTTATGTCGCCGTTGTAAAGCTTCCTGCGCACGGCCGCTCTGAACTGCAAGCTCGCGTCAGTGGTGTCCGCGAAATACAACTCGAACACCCGCTCCCTGTGAGCCGTGGCCGCAGCAGGGCAATTCCCAGCGTAGACCACAACCTGCTCATCGTGGAGGAGCCTGGCGTGATGCCTCACTGAAATGAGGTGTTCAGCGGACAAGCTCAACTGACATCGTATCATATTGGTGTCCGTCGGGCGGATGACCATATACCCCTGCTCGGCAACCTTCTTTTTGCCATGGGCGCGGCAAAGAACAATAATCTGAGCTCGAAGAGGGTGCTGCATCTGAAAGAGCCGCTCATTCTTGAGGTTGCTGCCTGCAGCGCCACACCCTATGACATCAATATGCCGAGGGACTCGCTGGTCAACGAGGGTGTCATACACCTGGCTGAGTTGCTGGCGCAAGCACGCGTTGATGATTTCACCGTTCGGCGTCTCTAAGACACTGATGTGGGTGGGCGTGTTCGCAAGCACGTGAAGGAAATCGTCTCTGTCACCAACGCGCTTGCGAAGCACCATGCTGAAACCAGCTTTGACAACGAACAACTCCCTCGTGCCAGTGCAGCGCTCTACGATCGAGTCAGTGCCGTAGTGCTGCGTGACCTGGGTGGTCACTCGCATGCGAGTGCCGTCGTATTTCCTCTTACGGAAGAAGATGACAGCATCCATCCGAGGGCCATCACCACGTGGACCGTGGGTTGCCGCGCAGGCGGCCAGAAGCCTCGGCACTATGGCAGCAGCTTGCCTCTGGCCAGACGCCAAGGCGGCGTGACCCACGGCGTGCACCTTCTCGCGAAAACGATTCGCCAGGATGCCGAGCCGAGACGCCAAGCGCGTGGCGCTCTCCAGGCCAACAGTCTGACCGCTGTCGGGGTACACCCGCCGAATCAGCACACCCGCCAGCTTGGCAACGGCACCCCTCTCGGCCCGATCCGCGACGCCATCCTCCAGCGGCGGCGGCGCGATCGCGCCCTGCGGCCCCAACGGCGCGACGGGCTGAGGCTCCAGTGCCACCAGCTGGCCGTCGCCGCCCGCGAGCCCAGGAGGCAGCTCGTCGGCCGCCTCTAGCCAGTTCTCCTCCTCTGGAGGCAGCGCCTCGCCCGCCTCCTCGGGCGGCGGCGCCTCGAAGACAGGCGTCGGCAGGCTGAGCGGGCTGAACGCCTCGTCGCTCAGCCACTGCTCAGGCGAAGGGGACGCCATGACGTGCAGCAGTGCACAGGCCGATGATGGTTTGAAAAAAATGGTTACGGAAACGGTGCCAACAATGAATCTGATGTCAACGTGAGCATTGTTGTGTTACTCTGTTTGTGTTGTTCGCGCACATGTTGGCTGCATCGTACAGCAGTGTACCTACTCAGGTCCTAAAGGTTGCACCACATAGCTTGCACCATGGCGTAGGCCGTCGCGTTATACCCTACTTCCCTACTTACTCGTAGGCTCCAAGCTGGAACCCTAAGGGAGGCTCCACAAGAGGGGACCCAAGGAGAGGCGCCTTGAAGGGCAGGGGCCCATAGGGGGACGAGGAACCACTGTGGACCCCAAAGGAGTTCCAAAGATGGGGCCCAACAGCTTCGCACGCACGAACAGCGCACGCACACAGCTAAGCGTGTCGTTCCTGAGAACTGGTTTAACTTGTGCTGCATGTTTTCGGTGGTATCTCAGCCCCCCGAAAACGATGATCAACACTTGTTGGAGGCGTTTGCCTACCCATCGGACCCCCAACTAGAAGAGTGAGGAACCGCGCGGCTAACCATCGAACTACCAACTCCGAAAAGACAACCTTGAGGCCATCAAACACCACCAACTGATGTAACCCCAACAGACAGGGCGGGGAAACCTCAACGCCAGGCTCGCTCGAGGTGCGGTGGAGGCCTTTTCCCCTGGTCCCTGAGCTTCTCCAGCCCTTTCGCCAAGGTGCTGCCGCCCAGGGCGGCGACGAGCTCAGCGCCACAGCCGACGAGGCGCTGTGCGTGGGCTTCGAGGCAAAGGCGGCCCTCGCTCTCCTGCCCGCCTCCCGCGCGCGTGGCCGCCTCGGCCTGCGCCTCCGCCGCCACTGGCGAAGGCTCCGCCGACTGCCCCTCGGCCTTCAGGAGCAGCATGAGCTCGGCGGCCTCGCCCACAGTGCCCACAGACGCGAGGGCGGCACCGTGGCGGACCGTGGGCCTGCGGCGCCCGCCTCGCCCCATCGCGCCGCTCGCGAGGGCGCCTCCGCACGGGTCCCGGCGCCTGCCAGGCCCCTGAGCCAGAATGGCTACGGGGAAGGAGGAAAAAGGAGAGGAGGAAGGAGGAGGAGGAGAGGAAGGAGAGGAAAGAGGAAGAAGGAGACTAGTCGTCGAGAGGTGAAGGAGGCAGACGACCTCGCCTCCGGACCCCCCCTTTTGCCACTTCGTCGTCTTCGACTGAAATTTATGTTCCCCCCTCACCCTCAGTATTGGCTGAGGCCGGGGTTACCGATGGCATCGGAGCTTGCTCGAATATGCTCGCAGCGCAAGCGTCGAGGAGGGAACCCAAACCCTCTTCGCGTCAAGAAAGAGCACGCCCCCGGCGTCTTGGAAAACTCAAGACTGCACTTCCGTTGGCAATTCTCTGTTCCGGGGAGCCGCGGAGCCCATTCCGGGTCCCGGGGTGGGCCGTCGAGATATTAGTCTGACCGAAGAACCAGCCTCGGGAAGTTGTCGAAAACATCTGCGGGTCCACGTAGTGAGAAAATCACGACGTCGGGGCTCTGGGAGGGGAAAGGAGGAGAGGGGCCTCGGCAGGGTAAGATCGAGGATAGTGTTCTTTGTGGCCTCCCAGGGCGCCCGCATCGCCACAGCTGGCTTTGCCTCGAGATGCTGGTCCGAGTGAACCTCAGGAGAGGTCCAGCGGGAGGGGGCTCGCCCACAGACCTCAAGGGTTTTGCAGTGCGCGTCTGCAAAGCCAGACATCTGAACGGTTTGACACTGAATAGCCACATGCCAGACGCTGGAATTCGACCTTGCCGTCCAGATACGTCGGATGAAGGCCTCGAATGGGTCTTTGACGTCGCTAGCGCTGGTAATTGGTGAGATGAGCTGCGCCTTCGAACTCGGCACCGTCAAGAACGTCAAGACCCCCTCCTCCTCCTCCTCCTCCTCCTCCCCCTCCTCCCTGGACCTCTGAGATCCTCCTGATGTTTGCAATGCATGGGCCCCCGAAGTCTCTCGACCCTTTTTCCGTGGGATTGCACTGTTCGCCCCAGCAGTGTTTTTCGATTTCGTGCCCGTGGTCATTTGCTCATTGGCTCAGGTCACCTCTTTGGAGCGGCATCCAGAGGCCGGAACCGAAGAAGCATAGCTGGACTGATTGACAGCACCACGCCAGAAATAAGGGACTTCGTTCCCCTCGTCGTCCTTCGCACCTGGATCATCACCTTTAGCAGAAATCTCATGAGCTCTTCGCGAAGCTCTGGAGACCGCATGACCCTGACAGACCCGCATCTCCCCTCCAGAAGCCCAAAAGAGGCTCCCAACGCTCCAACAACTGCCAAACGCGTCTAGAAACCTGCCTCCCCCCCACCCTCCTCCGCAACCCCATCCGGCGAAAGCCCGCTCAGCATGTGCCCCCGCACCGCGCCCGGTATCCAAAGGCCTTCTCGATAAAACAAATATCCAAACAGTATTCAAAATGATCAGACATAGTCAAGAAACGTCGTCCCCGGACAATTTTTGTGGACGCGTCTTGACGATTCCTCCTGTAGAGGGACATGCCCGACTTAACCGAAGCCTTAGGTCGGGCATGTCCTCCTGCAGGCGGATCTTGGAAGAAAAAGGAAACCAATAACCCAAGAACGCTCAAAGATGATCAACCAAAGACAAACAAACATCGTCCCTGTACTATTTTTGTGGACGCTTCTTGCCTCCCCAGACATGCGACGTATTGATTGTTTCGGTACGGCGTCCCTGGAAGTCCAGACCCTTTTCCTGGGGCCGGTTTTCCATCCTGAATCGTTTTTGGTGGTCTTGGGGCCAGGCGAAGGAGCCCCCAGGCCGAACAAAAAACAAAATACTTGCCGTCCTGAGTCTTTTGCGACGCGATCATGACTGGGTCTACATTTATGTCGGGCATGTCCCCCTATAGGCGGATTTTTGACGAAAAATAAGATATACACCAAGAACGCTCAAACATACACAAGTAACAAAAAAAAGAAGAATATCCCCATACTATATTTTGACATTTTTTGAATATTCCTCCTGTAGAGGGACAAGCCCGACTTAAGTCTACATTCCTCCTGCAGAAAGGGCATGCCCGACGCCACCGATTAACCCCTGGGCACCTTGCCGCCGGCGGCCAGGCTGAGCCCGCTCGCGGCCGCATCACGGCCACAAGAGTCGGGGGCGCGCAAACGTGGATCGGCGATCCGTCGTCGTCTGCACATCTGCGTCCTCGTCCTCCCCAGAGATCCAACCTATTGGAAAAAACAACACGGAGGTTTTTTCCTAGCTTTCGGCCTCTAAGAACCCTCACCGGGCCTCAAGACCGTCAAAAAACGACTCACGATGAAAAACCGCTCCTCTGGAATGGGTCGACCCGTCCGGGGACCCCGTATTGAATAATCACGACATCGGATCTCTGGGTACTCGTCCTCCTCGTCGTCCTCCCACATTCGCGCCCGCCCTCCTCCCCCTCTTTCTCCTGCGATTTCGGGGGCGCGCCAACATGGATTAGCGATCCATGGATTTTGCGCGCGGTCGCCAAAGTCCATGGATCCAGGGAGGTGCCCTCCCCATAATGCAGCCGGTGCCGCCTCGCTCGGCGGCGGAAATTCGCGATTTCCTTTCAAGCGGCACCCGTCGCTAATCCACGCCCCCTTGATCCATGCTTGCGATCGCCTGAAAGAGCTGCGACATCTAGCAGGAATCGGCGACGAGCCCAGGGGCCACTGCCCAGGTGGCGGGCCTGCTCGAAGGCTCGGAGGGCTCTCGGGCCTTCCCTCCTCAAGGCAGGGGCGACCTCTCAGATTATGCTGTTCCCATCGTACTTGGGGACCACATCCCAGAAATAATTTCGGGCACCCAGGAGATGCCGAAACAGTGTCGAACGAGCATCACCTCCCAGGGCCCGACGCGTGAACACCCTTCAGCTTCGGTACTTCCTGGGTGCTCGAAACTCTTCCTGGGTGCGAGGACTCCCGAGAAGCCCCGCCGCCTAGCTGACAGGGCCTGCCCCCATCGCCCTGCCCCCCCCCCCCGGGCGCCGCCGCCGACGCACAGCCGACGCGTGGCCTCAAGAGCAGAGCGATCGAGCAGGACCGCGCGCGAGCGCCTTCGCCGAAGGCCTCCTGGCAGACACCCAAGCGACGAGGAGCGCCTCGGGGTGGAGCGTCCGAGCGGCGGAGAAGAGCCCGAAGGTACCTCTCTCTCTCCGAAGCCAGGGAGGCCAGGGCGAGGATGAATGCAGGTGAAGACGAGGCCAGAGTCAGGTGAGGATGGGTCAGGATGAGGAGCAAGTCAGGCGGGGAGCCGCCGGGTCTCAGAGACTTCTCGCGAGAAGCCTCTGAGAGCCAGCGGCTCTGGAGATGTCTCGAGCGCCGCGGCCTGCTCAAGTTCCAGAACGCTCTGGAACGGACTGATCCTCGTCCTGGCCAGGCCCGACTCGCGCCGACTGTACTGTGCCCCAGGATGCTGAAGAAGTCTCACCCCGACACATGTCGCCGCCCCCCCCCCGCCCCCCACACACACCGGGTCATCGGCAATGTCGACTGGAACCAGCGGGACTCTGGCTTCCCAGACCCCCGAAGCCGTGAATTTTTCGCAATGTCGACCCCCAAAGGTCAGAACCCCTTCCCGGGACCAGTTTTCCGTCCCGAGTCGTTTTTGGACGGTCCCGAGCCCCAGTCAGGGCCCCCCGAGCCCGAGAATATCGAAAAGCCTCCCGTCGTGAGCTTTTCACAGCGCGAGGAGGTCCAGGTTTAAAAGCTTCCATGCGGTCCCCTAGTGCGTCTGGTTCCCGGGATGCACTGTAGCAAGGGCAGCACACACGGCCCACCGAGAGAATCACGGGACCACCACAGAGAGCTGCGGGCCTCCACCGTGGGGAATGGGGCGCGCAAGGGAGAGAACGGATCGTAAAGCGGAACCCACTCGGCGAGACGATGGCATGTCACGAACAAGTCCAGCCAACAAACACGCAGGAGGATACAGTCGGCCTGTATCATGAGGACGCGCGATAAGGATGCAAGGGCCTTGGAAGGCCATCTCGAGGCTTTTCGAGCGGGGCGCGGCCGACGAAAGTGGCCAGGGATCGACTGAGGAGGCAAGGATGCAAGGGTCCCCTTGGCAAGGCAATGGTGCCCATCATCACTATGCGGGTTGACTGTAAGCATGTTGCTCTGCGAGCATGGCAGTTATGTTTCGTCTTTTGCTCACCAGCCGAAGCATGCCGATCCGCACCTCTGCCAGCCTGATTCTTGATTGCGCACGGTCCAGTGGATCCAGGCGCGACGACCTCTACACCAACGCATCAGGTCTGCATCCAAGCGGGATGCCGCCGATGACATGTTTGGCATACAATGCCTCGGCCCCGCCGAGGTGGACCCATAGAAAGCAAGTGCTTACGAGCAGCATGGACTTCAAGAGCGGCATGGTCCTTGCACTGGTGGCCGCAACCGTAGCACGTGTACACCAGATGCCTTTGAAGCCCGCGAAGCCGACGTCGTGTTTGTGCTTGTCGCTATCGTTTGCCGAATCCACCCTGCCTCCTGCGGGCACGGCACGCTGAATATGCAGGCATCGGACGCGCCGAAAAAGGGGACAATGAAAAGGCTGGCTAGAGCATCTTGACCCTACGCGCGTGCCCGAACGAGTGGGGGGAGGCGACAGGGAAAGAAACCACTGAAAGAAGAAGCGGGCGCCACGAACGCTGGGAGACTTCGCGGCCACGGCGATGGTACCCACACACCCCATACAGCCGTTTTCCGCTTCAGCTTGAGAAGTTCGACGTGGACTGCGGGTCCCGAACAGGATACTGCGCCCGCGCGCGCAATGGGAGTCCATGGCTGGGGGACCCCACAGTACAGTCAGCGGCTTTCCCCGCGCCCCCGTAGAGTCCTAGCAAAATGACCAACGCGCTGGATCGCGAGATCGCTCACAGGTAATCCCACCAGCGCCTTTTAGGGCGTGAATGGTTTAGAACGCTTCCTTTTCCAACCCCGCGTCTTTCGGGCAAAGTTTACCCCTCCCCATGGACGGAGCCTTCCGCGACGGGTTGGAGCGTCCAGTATGGCCTCGGCGGGAGAGCCATATACATTCATTTGATCATGGTTCTGGCCACATGCTGGCCTCTGGGGGAGGATTGCGGGGGGCCTAATGTACGACGGCCCCTCCCTCGATCGATCTCCCCCAACATGGCCGCAAGATGTCCCACGAGGGCCCCGAGGGTGCTCCAAGAGGGCCGCCAAAGGTGGCCAGGATGTCCCAAGTACCCCCCCCCAGCGGCCATTAGTGTGCCCCCGAAGATACTTCCAAGAGGCCCGCAGAACGCTCCCCCAAACCCCCAGAGGCACCCAAAACGCCCCACGCGGCCTCGGCGAGCAAACCAGCACCAATAATTGTTACCAAAAATCTCTGCGGGGGGGGGGCCTGATGAACTACGGCCCATCCTTGGATCGATCTCTTCCAAGATGGCCGCAAAATGGCCCCTTAGGCTCCCAAGGGTGCCCCAAGGGCCACAACAATTGCCCAGGAGGTCCCAATTGGCCCCGCGAGGACCCAAGAGGCTCCCAGGAGACCCCAAGACGTCCTAAAAGGCCCCGGCGAGAACGTCACGATCTTTCAGTTTACAATGGTTCTGGCAACATGCTGGCCTCCTGGGGGGGGGCAAAAAAAGAAGCCTCCCTCATTTGATCGATCTCTTCCAACATGTCCCCAACATGGCCATTTCCCCCAAGTGCCCCAAGAAACTTCAGGAGGTGCCCAGGAGGTCCCAAGAAACGTCCCCGATGCCCCCAACAGGCTCACCAAAAAAACGGACAGGCTCCAAGATGCCCCGAAGAAACACCCACACCCAGTGACTCCGACAGGCAACCAAGAGGCATATGGCATTATGCTCGCCCTCCCCCTCCCCCTCCCCCTCCCCTCTACAATTACACAATATGAATACTACTCTCCCACTTCCCCTGATGGCGTCCGGAAGGTATTCGGCACCCCCCCGCGTACTGTTTTTTTACACACAGGATTCCCCGGAGTTGGGTTTTCGCTTGTGTTTTTTTTTTTCTAAAATGCTGCTCTCGCTGAGGCGCTGGCCTAATTTACGGGCTCCCGCTCCTTCCGAATCGTGTTCCCGCTGCAGCGCTGGCCTCATTTCCGCGCTCCCGCTCGTTCCGAATCGTGCTCCCGCTGCAGCGCTGGCCCAATTTCTGCGCCTCTCGTTGTTCCAAAACGTGCTCCCGCTGCAGCGCCGACGTTTTCGATTCTTTTTAAGAAACCCCAAATCTAGAAAATGATCCCCGGCAAAAACATTGGAGGTGATTACACATCCGGTGTCGATTCGTTGATTTTTGGGCCGCAGAAAGCCCCCCCCCTTTTGGGCGGCGTCCCATCTTCGTCGCCGGTCGTCCTCATCGTCGTCGTCGTCGTCGTCGCCGCCGCCGTCGTCGTCGTCGTCGTGGTTGTCGTCGTCGTCGTCTTCGTCGTCGTCGTCTTCGTTTTCAACGCGCCGTCGTCCTCCTCCTTTCCCTCTTAGGTAACAGGGTCAGATGCGAAGCCCGATTCGGTGAGAGGACAATGAAGTAGCTCAATGGGAAGGGATGGGAGGGAGGGGTAGGATGTCAGATGTTGACGCGAGCGCACCTAGCTTGCCCCCTCCCCCTCCCCCTCCTCCTCCTCCTCCTCCTCCTCCTCTCCTCCTCCTCCTTCTCCTCCCCGTCATCTTCCTCGTCCGTATGCTCCTGCTCCCCATTGTTCCTCACCCCTCCTGCTCCTGCTCCTGCTGCTCCTCCTCCTCCGATTCCTCCTCCATCCTCCCCCGAACGCATTTTTAAAACAAATTCTGCGTTTCGACATTGGGCGGGAAAAGGGGGGAAACGGGGGGACCTGGCCCTGGACCTCTGCCTCGAGCGACTGTCTGGAACCGTGCGTCCTGTTGGGGAGACCCCACCTGCCCGAAACAAGCACCAGAAACAGCCAAGAACTACTCCACGGAAGGGGGCTGGGGGGCCAGGGCCCGCGCTGGTCGGCGAAACAATGAATAAAGAAACGGTCGCGTACGATGTCCTAGCCAGGCGTTGACCCCGCTGCTCTTTCCTCTACATCCATGGGCAAGGCAACCAGTGTGAGTTTCTTTTTATGGGTGGGTTGGTGGGGTCATTTTTTGGTTAGCGGGCGCGCGAAGACGAGTCGAACGCCGAGCGTGCTGAGGCGTGCCGCGCTCCGTTGCTAAGGGAGAAACAACGAGGCGAGAGGCATCCGGCGGTCGAGAGAGATAATACACAAGCACGACCCGCGAAGCTGCCGCCAGACAAGCGCGCCGACGACGGAGAGCACGAAGACCACGGGCGGAGCCACCCTTGTCGAACAGGAGTAACTTGAAGCAGGCCCAAGGAGCACCAGAAGCGAGTGGCAGGCGGATTGGCGGGGTTACGCGAAGCATCCAGAATCGCGCGCTTCATCTAAAACGGACTGTCGCAAAACCACAACGTGGACAACGCTTGTTTTCAAACGTTCGCGCCACACTGCATTTGGCCTTACGTCGGGCACGCCCCCCCACAGTCGGATTTTGGACGACAAATTAAAAATGCTCCAAAAGGGCTCGGAAGTGCGCAAGAATAGCCAAAACGTCGTCCACATACTAAGATTCAACTATTTGGGAATTTCCCTTCTGTAGAGGGACAGGCCCGATTCGAAAACTGGTCCTGCGAAGACACATCTGCCGCGTCGCGTCGCCGCGAAGCCGTCGGAGCAGCACCCGGGGGGGCCCGCCGTCGACGCCCTCATCACCCCGGACACTAGCCGCAATTTCAGCGCGGGCGCGGCCGCAAGAAACCATCGCGACAAAAAAAACATGAAAACCCGCGCGCGAGGTGCAACTGAAAGGGAACCTCGAGCACCCTGGACGCAGAGGGCCCTTCAACGGCTGCGGGAAGTCACCGCGCAGCTCGAGGAGCGAATAAACCCAAGATAAGGAGGAAAACGAAGCAGTAAGGCACTTGAACCTGAACTTTTTGTTGCGTCCTCCTCGCAAAGGCCGCGCGTTCGCTCGTAAGGTTATGTACCTGTCGCAGTGTTGGGGGTGAAGAACTTTCAAATAATAGGCATCGTGGAGGGCGCGAGGAAGGCTGCAGTTCGCCCTCTAAATGGCGCGGTACAGTGCGATGGGAAAACAATGCGTTATCTGGAGAGCTCTCTGTGAAACAAACGCCGGCATTGAACGAATCACGACGTAGATCAAGGTAGAAGGAAGTGCAGACACGCACGGGGATCCGAAAGCGGTCGATCGCATTTCTGCCCCTCGGCCATAAGAGAACTTCGGGAAGAAATCAAGTCCGTCCTCCTGCTCCTGCTCCTGCTCCTGATGCTCCTCCTGCTCCTCCTGCTCCTCCTCCTCCTCCTTCCACTCCTCCTCCCAATGAGGCCGATCGGCCCTGTGGGCCCCGCGGGGCCGGTGGGCCTCATGAGCCCTACGAGGCCGACAGGCCCTGCGAGCATTTCAGGCTGCGGTCTGTATGAACCTTGGGCTGCATAAGCCCGCGTGGGAGGCCGACGGGCCCTGTCTATCCCACGGGGTCGATCGCACGCAGGAGCTCCGTGAGCCCTAGGAGCCCGATTCGGCTGTATGGGAACTATTATCCCCTGTGAGCCCTGCAATCTTTATTGCGCGTATCAGCCATGACGGGCGCAATGCGGCCGATGGGCCTGGTGAGCCTTATGAAGCCGATGGTCCGATGCGCCTGATGAGCCCGATGGGCTCTTTGAGCCCTATGAAGCCTGGTCCCATCATGAGGCCCATGCGGCATGGGCAACACATATTGGGAGACCGACGGGCCATCAGAATCCTGCGAGGCCTCTTTGTCGAGTGAACCATATAAGGCCGACTAGCCCGAGGAGCCCTATGATGCCTTGCTCTTCACGACACTTACGCCGCATTCGCACGTGCCCATATTGGGCCAATGGGCCCAATGAGCCCTATGAGGCCGATCGGCCGAGTGAGCCCTGTGAGACCTACGAAACAAACGGGCCGTTGGGTCCTTATGAGCCCCATTCGCCCCACGAACCTTATAGGCACTATAATCGTTACTGTCCCTGTTAGCCGCAGGAAGCTCATGTGCCCTGCTCGCTCCCAGGGGCCCCGTGGAATCCATGAACTCCACGTGCGCATGAACAGCGGGGACGCGAGATCGGTTGATCAGGGGGCAGGATGGGGAGAAACCAGAAAAAAAACGTGGGGGGAGGGGCGGAGAATGGCGTCGAAGTGTTAGTGGGAATAGGGATGAAAGAAACCAGTATAATGTGTAAGGGCGAGTACGACGTGAGACACTGCGCATAAGGAGGAATGCTATACTTTGTATGAGGAGGCGAGGGAGGGATAAGGAGGTGGAGGGAAAGGAGTAGGCAGGAGGGATCACAAAGGATATACAAGGATTCGGCAAGAAGGGAAGGAGGAGAAAGAAACTCACGCAGCCCAGACCGCTAGAAATGCACATCCGCGTATGGCCAATGCGGGCAACTGGGACTCACTCATAGGGTTCATCGGCCCCAGAAGGCT